CTGATGAACATTCATCGAGACATTAAAATAAATACTGATGAAGTCATTAATGAGATGAGTACAAAATCTAGGCGGTTAAATTGTCGTTTGGAATAATTAAGTTATTTTTAAGAATTATTTTTCTTTTGTATATTAAATATTTTAATAAAGGTTATAAATAATTTTAGTTTAATTTTGTCATTTTATTTAAACTAGTGAATAGTGTGTGGCTATTTAAATTAATTCTAATTGTAGAATGATACTCATTATGCATGAATGAACATATAATGTTTAGCAATTTTTGTATTTGGATAACCATAATTAATTTAAATGTACTTTTACCAAAAAATTTATAAAATATATCCCCCCCCATTGAAATTTCCTGGGCACGCCACTGTAAACGTGACCCTAATATTTATAATTTAACTTTTGGTGACCCCCCCATAAAAAAAAAATCATAATTTCGCGACCCTCCATAAAAACCTCTGCGACCCTAATTTGGGTCGAGACCCGAGGTTGGGAATCGCTGTGTTATGGTAATAATTTAAATAATTTAATATTTAAATTTAATATCAATTATACTGATAAAGTATTAACCAAAGGAATGGTATTAAACATTGTAACCGGTATCTTGGTTGGTTATGTGATAATGGTATTGTGATAAGGGAAACTKCTCCGAGGGTGCTGTCTCCAGACGCTCGTTAGTGTGATACCGCTGACGGTGAGCGCAGCGCATATATAAGCATAATTAAACTTTTTTTGCCGTAGAACATAATTTTGTACATCCAAGAATACGGGTCATTGACATGACTAAACGGGCGCCTGTGGCCGATGTCAACACATTGTTGACACGCGGTAACCTGTCCGTTATTGTAACTTTGTGAAGCAGGCTAAGCCGTACACATTTGAAATTTTGGTCGGCCATTCAATAGCGTATTGTTTATTACGCGCTTATTTTTATAAATGACTGAAAACGGGCGCCCATGGCCGGTGTCAACGCGATGTTGACGCGCGCAAATTATACCATTTACGAGTATACGCGCGGCTACAGGCAACCACATGTCGATCGACGGCGGTGACGGGCGCGCACACGTCGAATCGAATGTTGGCGTTCAACGAGTTAATTATTTACATAATTAAAAAATAAGCCGTATTATTAGAATTACAAAAACATGTTTTAAAGCATATTTTTCTGGTATTTATTAAATAATATGCTTAATACTCACGTAATCATCCATGTTCATCAGCCAACAACGAAACTGAAAATGAACAATTTTCGCTCGTACATAAAGCGTTTGTCTTATGTTGCCGCATGAAATAACAACAAACCACCGTCCCTACAGCTTTGAAAGATACATGCACAATGAGATACATTTAGTCCGAATTTCCTGCATCATGCGGCAAGTACGAATTAAATTAACCATTTTCTATCATGTTATCATAATATTCTTATGATCATATGCACCCACGGTCTTATGAACAGACCGCGTATGCACCTTATCAAAAACGAGATAAACACAGTAAACCATATTATATGAATGCGGTAAATAAAGTAATTGATATCAGATTAAAAATAGATAAGAGGTATAGCAGACTACCTACACTTTCCAGGGACGTTTTTTTTATAGCCGTAGGAACGCAGGTTATTTTTAAATAATTTTTCAAAGTGGTAGATTAGCATACGGTTGCCGCATGATGCCAGCTATTCGGACTCGCTGTGGTAATCATCTCCTCATCACTAACGAGTTCAAATGATATCCCTATAAACTTATTCACAGGATAGCAGACTACCTACCCTTTCCAGGGATGTATCTTTCATGGCTGTAATGTGGATGGTTAATTTTTACGAATGATCCGAACCTATGATATATCATGCGGCAACGGTATGATATTGAAGGTAACAAGGAATGCACTCATACCGTTTTCATGACTCTAAGTCAAAACCCTGATTTTATACGACTTTTTGAACTGGGGCATATCCGGTTTGCCGCCAGATTGCAATGCATCCTAGCGGTAAATATCAAATTTACCACCCACGTGGCCGTAATTTGGACTTTTGCGGTTCAAAAGCATTATGGGACAATAGTAGAAGTGTATATAGAGATAAAAAATTATAGCATGTTACTTAAATAAAATAYAAATAAACAATTATAGCATATTACTTAAATTAATCATTTGTGTTATATTCATGTACTACAGGTACTCTGAAATGCCTCCGTACACGTGTGAATCATTGTTGCAGATGGAAATGATTGAGTCTTCAGATATTGAGTTCAACAAATAAGTGTAATTCTCCACACAACCCCAATAGCCCTAATCCACCGTTTCTGTAAACTTTAAGCTGGATGCTAAAAAATAAAAGAGATATCAGCAAATGACCAACAAGAGAGATGTGTAGTGATCACGTCGCCTACAGGAATCAGTAGTCAAGGATGATGGTTGGAAGGTGACTCTTGAGTTAATTCCACAACGTAGAATTCTTCTTAATTAGATTAATTGTTTATTTATTGTG